GGTTACTGGTTACTGGTTACTGGTTACTGGTTACTGGTTACTGGTTACTGGTTACTGGTTACTGGTTACTGGTTACTGGTTACTGGTTACTGGTTACTGGTTACTGGTTACTGGTTACTGGTTACTGGTTACTGGTTACTGGTTACTGGTTACTGGTTACTGGTTACTGGTTACTGGTTACTGGTTACTGGTTACTGGTTACTGGTTACTGGTTACTGGTTACTGGTTAGTAAATAGTAGCTAGTGGCTGTTCATAATTCATATCAGGACATCAAGTTTTTTATAAACTAAAGTCATTATAACATCTACACACGTTAAAATTAACGAAATTCATCACATCTTACCAGTAATAGCGGGAGAGGTATCACAGCTAGAATCCTGCTTACAGGAGGTCTGACCTCTGGTGCACGTGCACTTAACACAATCTCCCACCGACACTACTTCTCCTTCTCCCATTTTCATCCCGTTCCTTTCACAGTAAACTGCAATAATTGACGTTGTAAGAAATCTTATCTTATTTTATTCCATGTCACCAGAATGCCAGACATCAGGCTTCCTAAGTACCTGCTTAACTGGACTCCTGCGTATGGGAGAAGATTTAGGGCTAGGGGTCGTCTATAAGAAAGAACAGAATGAAATGTTTGCTGGAAGATGCTGCCGCGTTTTCAGGACAATTTTTGAAAAGATGTCAGAAGTGGGATTTGAACCCACGCCCACATTCGTGGACCAGGATGCTCCATCATACGACGGCAAGAGATTCTTGAGTCTAGCGCCTTAGACCACTCGGCCATCCTGACATGTTATATAAAAAGAAGAAGTGCTACTTATATCCACTTATCTCAGCTTATGTTCACCTCTACTCTTTCGAAATGCAAAAGTAGAAATGACATTCTGATATAGGATAGGCTGCAAAACCTTACCATTAGTATATTTTATAAAGCCTCATATTTCAAAATGTGTTGTCATCAATAACTCATCATCAAGTTAGAAATCACAAAGTTACTTGGGTTACAAACGCAAGTTGAACCCATGTCAGAAAAATCAATAATTATAAATTGCCATTTTTTGCAAATTAGCTCCCAGACCACTCACCCATTCCAGTATAAACTATTATGAAAATTAGCATAATTAATTCATGAAATGTCAGCTCACATATTCGAGGAGGCAAAGTTATAAAAATCAAACTGGAGTTTGAATTTATATCATACTGTAGGATGATGAAGCTTACTTATATTTGAGAGGACTGAATACTGATGAGCAAGAGTGTAATTAAAATGTTATCAATGTTATATTTTGTCGTGTATCGTCATCAGAGATCTTATTTGATTGTGCAAATCATTGATCCACCTTTAAATGATGACTCATGATAGAATTTGATTGTAATTCGCACAGTTCATCAAACAGTTTTTGAAAAGATGTCAGAAGTGGGATTTGAACCCACGCCCACATTCGTGGACCAGAATGCTCCGTCATACGACGGCAAGAGATTCTTGAGTCTGGCGCCTTAGACCACTCGGCCATCCTGACTGTTACATAAAATGAAATATAATAACTGGTCTCTGTCTACTTCAACCTATGTTCAACTCTTTCATATTACAAAAGTAGAATCGACTTTGTGGTATCGGAGAAGTGCAAAATAATCTAACAATTGATAAATATCATAGCAGTCGCCCATATTCAATATCATTTATTATGTGTTATAATCATCAAGTTAGGAATAACAGGGTTGATAAGGATGATACCAGCGCGATTGGAACCGACTTCAGACTAATAAAATAACGGTGATAGCAGTTTTTAGACCCTTTACTAAACACCATCCAAGCATAGAAAATAAAAAAAATAAACATAAATTAGAAAAAAGACAGCTTACCCCTCTCCAGTTCAACACAGAGTGTAACCCTCTCTGCTGCTGAGTACTCCGTCTTCCACTTGCCAGTAGCTGAGTCCATGTGCACGTAGCCCGGTTTGGGGTGCCCTGTATCCCAGTTTTGGTATGATAATGACGTCATGATCTCCCGATTAGCCATCCACTGGTATCGACCTGCACCAAGTTATACATTTCAGATGTAGTTAAATTAATAGGTTTTATTATTAATTCTATTATACATTTCCTGATTTAATTCGACTGATTCAGATTGTATTGAGATATGCAATCAGATATGCAACTTATTATAAGTTGAACTTATATTCGCTGACTGATAACCGATCTTATCTCTCGAATATCCCCCTTGTTCTGATGACGTCACGATGACGTCACGATGACGTCACGATCAACGACGTTTAACTGATCACATGATTCAACTGATTGATATGGACAATTTCTAGATATTATCATCTGGGTAACATTAAAAATCAATATGGACGTACCACCCATTGATTGAATCAGTCCCAACCAAGCTTCTCCTATTCCATTATCAAGTAGATATTCCTGAAGTCTTCCGTTGCTTTCTTCATTCATCACAGGAACCCACCTGAAATATATTTTTTGGTATTTTTTTATTCCCATTACAGTTAAAGTTACAGAAACGAACACATTCTCTGAGATACATTTCTCAGTACTATTCCAATTAAAGTAACAGAAACGAACACATTTTCCTACCTAAAGTGGAACTTATTACCTGAGACCATCGTTAGAGCACCTCATCATACCCGCTGTAGCTCTATAGGTCCCAACATTCTTTATACGTAGTGCATAATGCTTCCAGAACACTGAAATGGTAAATTTTTAAACTCGTCAAACGGACAGATCAGCTTGTCAAAACTATTTTCCGAGCTAGTGTTGATCAAGGATGGTAAATGCGTTTTGGGGAGACTACGCGTAGATACTACGCATACGTATTTCCCGATGATAAATTACGTATTTCAAATTTCTAATACTAGTAGTATGGTAGTCGACTACTACCTTTAAGTTGCAGTAACGCGCGAATATCTATATATAAATATTACATTGCAAATTACATGAAATTGTGGCCTAAGTGGTTAATGCGCCAGCTCCGTGTCAGTAGATTGTGAGTTCTAGACCCGGATAGGATAAATTATTCCCATACTTTTTGGCAATTATGAATAACTAATGAATAACTAAAAATACCTCTGTAATATAACTAACAAGGTGAAATGAAATCGTCATCCGGCCGAAAAATTTATTATGGCCGTTTTAAAAGTTTATTATAGCCGTTTTTTCTTTCCAGGCTGGATTCCTAGTCACTTTTTAAATTTATGCCATTGGGAAGTCCGTGTTAATCCGGTTTCAAAATCCAAGCAAGAGAGACTTGTGATCTTAGTCTGCGGATATTGTAATAGATAAAAATGCACTGGAACTGGGTCTCGGGTGAAAGTCTATTCCTCGAGGGGGGGCATAACTGCTTTATAACCTGAGAAGCTCTGCTCTGCAGCAGACTGACTGATTGGTTGGTTCAGCATAAGAATAGCAAGTCGCTGCAGCGTTTTCATTCGAGCACCGTAAAGTCTCCAAAACGACTGTCAGTATTGGCATTGCTATATACCACTGGGCCAGCGACTCGCGCGCAAATATCACTAATCTGTAATCACGTATTTCGTAAGAGATACGCGCGTATTTTGAAAAATTTTACCATCAAAGAATTTAAGCGCCAAATTTTGCCGTATTTCACGTATTTCTTAGAATTTTTGAATACGGCATATTTACAGGCGATTTTTTGACGTATTTACCATCGATGGTGTTGATCGCGTTCGTGGGTATATATTAACCTCTTTTCGTGATTTTAAGTTACTTTTAAAAGTTGAACCAGGTAAATATTAGTCGGAAATGTCATAATATAAATGAAAACATTAGCAAATTGGCTTACGTGTGTCAGCAGAGAAAGATTGTCCAATAGTTGCTATGAAAAACGACATGAAAACTAGAGACAACATTTTTCCTGAAAAACAAAAAATGTTCGTTATCAATATTACTAAAATTATTCTTTTCCATTTAAGCTCTTTTAAAAAAGGTTCTTTTAAACTTTCAATCATTGAACTATAATTGAATCAAACTAATGGTGTGGGATTAGTGATAGTAGCTGGAATTAAATACGAACTGACGCCAATTTATTTGATTCAGCTATGTAACATGTACTATCGCAAAATTCCAATTAATTACAATTATTGAATGTCGAACGGTTAAACTCAAACCAGTTCTCAAAAATTACGTTGACAAAAGTGATACTTCAAATTTGACGATTCTTTATAAAGCTCTAGATTAACAAATGCATTACCGCCATAAAATAGTTTCCTTAAACTTCCATGACGTAAATTAGATTTATTAATGGCCGGAAACCGACACTATTTTCAAATTTCATACTTTCTGCAGAACAGTTAATGGATGCCTTAAATAAACGTATCACAAGAATGTGGCAAGAATGTGAATACTTATGAAAAAATAATGGCGTAATGCATCTGTGTCAAGATGATATGTAGCATATTATTGATTATCTTGGCACAATTGCATTTCACAGGTGTAATGGCTGTCAATGGTAAATATGGCTTTATTTCATAAACAATGCGTGCATGTCGACTATAATTACCGCCAAATGTCACTGCTCGCGTAAAAAATTAAAATCAATAAACGAAAGGTTAAAGCTTGAAGTGGTCATAAAAGGTAGTTTACTCAAATAGCTGCCACGTTTAATTGCCATGAAAAATGCTTCAACTAATGAGCTAATAAATACATAATTAATTTGATTATAGAACGTTTCAGAATTATTTCTGTGTTTAGTTGCTAATCAAAATTATATTTGTGTGGTTAATAAAAGCAAGAGAATTAATCTTTTGGTCTCGGTTTTTCATAGTTGCTTCCATGACTAAATTTTCTTTTCGTTACGTCACTAAATTGGTAACTACGTCACTAACTTGGTAACTACGTCACTAACTTGGTAACTACGTCACTAACTTGGTAACTACGTCAATTACTTGGTAACTACGTCACTAACTTAGTTATGAACTGAATTATATCATTATAAAATTATACATAGAAACTAGTATGTGTGTCATGGAAACAAATCAAAAATTAAAAAACAGATTTTAAGAATTCAAACTGAATTAGTTTTAACAATTAACTGACTATATATACTAGTAATTTTTTTTCTCACTAAATGAACAGTATTTGGAATTTACCAGTAAAATAACCTAAAATTGTAGTTCAGATGCTATATTTCATTGAAGTAATAATTTTGTTTGACTTGTAAACATTTCTTCTAAAATTTATAGTATAGCGATTTGGAACGAAAATATAATTCTACATCGAGTAGTCTTAGCTCTTATCTTCACAAAATCTTCAATCAATATTGCTGAACTCGGTACAAAGTCATGCTCATTACTTAAACATTTGGCTGAATCGAAATGACAATGATGAGTAATCGAGAAATCTGACAACGTCTTTATTTAGCATTTCTGAAGTTTTTTTCAACAACAAGATACAAGGTCTCTCCCGAACGTTGGGATGGCCTGAGGTGCTTATCTCCTTTTCATTAACCCTGGGCCACTCTGTGTCGAGGCACTATACTAGCTGTAGGGGGGTTATTCCTACGAGCCAGAGAGTGTGTATCACCAGCCGACCGGGTGGTGTAGTGATAACACGATCGCCTCCCAAGCAGAAGACCTGGGTTCAAATCCGGTCGGATTCAAGTCGGTCAGCTTTACCAAGCTGTGATTTGGTACAGCTTCGAAGTTTTTTCACAGAAGCATAACCGCGTTAATACTACCAGTAACATCTTGTGAAGTATCTCACTGAAGAATTATCACTTCAGTCACATGATCACATGATAACATGTTACAACACGTGACACAACACGTGACACAACACGTGACACACCTCATGTGAGCACGTGAAAGAGCAGAAACGTACCTAACACCAGACTAACCAGTCCTCTCTGACCCCCACTACAAAGAGTGGATATATTGAAGTTATTGGTGCAAGGGAGTAGACTATACGACAACTCCCCAAAAGACACATTAAACACACTGGTAGTGTTCCGAGCTGCCAGCTGGTTGCTAGGTGTTACAGAACTGCACGTGCAATCTGGAGACAGGTCGTTAAGAAGCAGCAAGTTAGTCCCCTTTACTGGAGCTGAATGTAGAGTTTTATCACACGTGGTGCACGCTAACTTGTGCACCTCTGCTGCACTATTGTGGTTGAGTTTGTAGACAAAGTAGTCCTTGCAGCATCTGTAGAAGGAGTCTTGTCGCTTGAGACTGATGGTTGAACCTAGCTGACTGTGGGAGGTAGCGAGTGTGATGGTGTTGTAGAGAAGGAGGAGAGTGTTGCTAAGTGACGTGGCGGAGGATGCTGGCTTGGTTTTGTTTTTGCAGGTTTGTAAACAGTTCTTGTAGGAATCACGTGAATAAACTGAACGGTTCAGCATTTGATCCATCAGCTGAAATTTTGTTAAATTAGCGGATAATATACAGCGCTCTTATTCACCATTACAACATATGTAAGTCAGGCTAAAATAGCAATTTTATTTTATAATTTGTTACCTCTTGCCTAATGTAAGATTCGGAACACTTTTATAAGAGTTCATTTAAATTATTAGAAAAATAAATCTCATTCTGAAGATTTTCGGGGATTATTTCTTTGTTTATTATAGTGGTTGCAATTTTATTCTCATTCTCTTGTATATATACTTTTTGACTATTGGGTAAATTTACTTTTTATATTAGGTCAGACATAACCATGTAATTTGACTTTTGAATCGTTTAATCCGTTTAATCCGTTACCTCTGGGAAAACTGCTGAAAGATGCTGGTCCACCATCATCTCAATATCGTTAACTGGCTCAATGGAGTTAATGAAACCCTTGTCATCTAGCAGATATGTCTGAATTGGAGGCTCTCTGTAGCTGACTTCTAAAGGCAGAAGGTTAAAATACATCATGAAATTGTGACTATCATAACATTCTCATTGAACCAACGAGTAAGACAAAAAAGGTAATTAAGACAAAAAGGTAATTAGAATTGCAACGTTAGATTTAGAAATTATAATAATCAATTTGATGGACAATGAGGATTGAGGAAATTGGAACTTACTTCCCAGTTTGAATATTTCTAAAAGAGACAGTTTGTAGAACTCTGTTCCGACTATCGCTGGAGTAATTGCTGTGGAATCTGAGATAAAAACAAGTTACATAATTGAGTAAAACTTTTGCACTTCTCTGCTCGAATTCAAGTCACTACAAATTTTAAACGCGATTAACATTTTAAATATCTTTATTCACCTTGCTGAAGAATAATATTTCTAGTCAAGAAGAAAGCATCCTGTTCTCTGTAAGCTGAACTACGACGTTGGGGACCCATAGTAAGCCGATCATCTGCTTCTAGCGATGCGACTAGTCGCTCATTTTCAGTGAATATTTGAGAGTTTTCTTCAACTTCAAGCCACCCCTTGAGGTTGTAGAGAAGAAGACCTGCATTTGTGTACAGCATTACTGGAACGATCTGAAACATATTCTATGTAATAATGTTCAGCTTCTTCTGGGCCGGATTAAAACATTTCGCCTTACTTAAAGCTTTAAAGCTTAAAGCAGGTCTATGAAGGATTGAACGGTATCTGGCATCTATTTACAAATATAATTGCTTAAAGTTCTTCGCGGAACAATCAAACAACAGTCTTTAAACTGGATCTCAGAACAATCAGACAGTCTTTAAACTGGATCTCAGAACAATCAGACAGTCTTTAAACTGGATCTCAGAACAATCAGACAGTCTTTAAACTGGATCTCAGAACAATCAGACAGTCTTTAAACTGGATCTCAGAACAATCAGACAGTCTTTAAACTGCATCTCAGAACAACGGTTCCTGTACTGTAGTGCGACACGTACCCTAGTGCGAAACCTTCAAGATCGATACTGTCGCACTAGAGTACGCTACCTGGATCGTAGTGCGACACGTACCGTACTACGACAAAGGGTGTTTTTGTCGGACTTCGCACTAGAGTACGTGTCGCACTACAGTACGATTACCCAGAACAACTCACATCAGTAGACTGAGCTGGCCACGCTTTCCTCACAATATCACTGACAACAGAATAGTGGGCCGCTGTTTCGTTCATAACATATGTGTTGAACCTAGGAGTAGGAAGTCATCATTAAAATGAAGATTTGCTTTACTTTAAGTTCGGAATCATATTACGATTACGTGAAAATTTTAACCAATAATAATTTTTCCTCGACCAAAAATGTAACGTTTCAATCTGAGTAAATACCTGACGGTTTCCTTGGGAGTATCTCCCAGTTGTTTGAACCATCCAGTAATAGATATTGATATCTGAGGACTTAGCGGAGTGTCCTCTACAAGAGAACTCCCAGGGTTGGCAAGAATTCTCTTAAGATCGGGATAACATCAGTCAGATTCTTACTGGACTCAATCTCGTTGGAGAAGGCTGTGGGGATGGCCAGGGCTAGGAAGAAGGGGAAGGATTTGACGGGCGTGTAGTGGTATTGCATTTTAGTGTATAGCTCTCTGCCTCGCTGAGGGGAGGGGACAGTTCTTGTTATTCAATTTGCTCAGATAAATGCATTGCGCTTATTTTAACTAACAGATAGTTTCTCTAAATTTTTTGTCGCACAAAATGAAATTCCCGTTAGCCTTTTTAAATCTTAAGCGGAGTGAATCTATTTGTGCTTCAAGAAATTGAAAACTCCATTGATACTTATCCAAGTATGTATATATACAGAAATATTCACTAATATTTCTGTTTGAAGATCTGTTCTATACCTCCAATGAAAAGCTGTAGTGATAGAGACAGTTCCCCTCGACAACACCACTTTCGCCGCTTATAATAGCTCTTTCAATGTCAGAGGAAGATATTTCACCTAAAAATAGAAGCGCTCATGCTAAAGAAAGTAATATTTTCGAAAATCTTAGTACAAAATGGATACAAAAATCTGCTATGAGATTAGTTTAAAGATGTCAAAGATTGTTTTATATTAGAATTGAACTTAAGTTATTGACGACGAGGCCTCACCTTTGCAGAGCTCAACTTCAGCGAATCTTGCCGTGTAAGTACGTTCCAACTCAGCAAGAGGCTTCAGTCGAGGATGGTAGACTAAATTTCCTCTGTTGTTGAGAATTATTGCGTAAAGTCCCACCTGTTTATTTTTAATTTAGCGAATATATTAGATTTGTCCTATGATTGAAACAGTTTCTTATGACGTGATATAATATAAGCTTTAATAAAACAGCGCAAACTCTGAACTCGGTTAATCACAGGCACTAATTTTTGCAATACAATGCAAATAACAAGCACAAATAACTACTTAGCTTTTTTCACCTTGCTCAAATTAGCGACTTTACTGACAAGATTGCTTATCTTTATATCAAGTCCCACAATCCCTGTCTTTTTCTCCTGAGAGCACGATTTGTCGTGAATATTGAACACAACCATTTGATCCTTTTGTTGATCTTAATGCAACTATTATCTGATAAAAGCTAAGTAACGACACCAGCTAGGTACTGAAGTACTCGACAGTCACATCTACCCAAGGAACTTCCCAATGGCCATGTTAATTGTTAGCAAGTTGGAAACTAAATACCTTAATTCCCAAAAATTTGGGCGACAAAAAATTTGAGCGGGCCTCTCGCCCAAATTTTTTGCAGACCAAATTAATTGCATAAATCTTTTCCGTCTGCTAAATTTTTTGCTAACCAAACTTTTGGCATTTGGCCTGTGGCCCTGAAATCTATAGAAAGATGGCTTTTTCTTCATATCCAAGTGAAATATTATTTGAAATTTTAGTTTTCTAATCTGTCATTCATGGCTTGACCAAGTAAAAAGGCTTATATTTTAAATGAATAGAAATAACTGGAATAGCTAACAGCTACTAATAAAACAAATGGCTAGAGGTACGGATAGCTAGAGATTTAAACAAGATATGCCAATGGATTATCATCCACCGTAAAGTCTGATCTACAAGCTTACAAGCATCAGTTATACCCGACTTCTCAAAGCCTTTCCTTATGTCATCTGGCCTCCCTTTTAAATATACAAAAAGTTCGTTGATCCAACGAGCGTGTACTTCACGGATCACTGTCAAGCGGGTATCAATTTTCACATTGTCTGATGAAACTCCTCCATTGAGCTGACACACTATGTTTTTCGCGTACGGTCGCTGGACGGCCCCTGTCCCTTTTCACAGCTGGTAAATGTCTCCTGCAGGTGCTCCTGCATCCATGACTTTATCTGATATCACAGCAAGCAACAAGCATTCCACGTAACTGTAGTTCAAAGAATGTGATGGTGCATATGTCTGGTTAATTAAAATTAGACTTGACCTTTGGTCCGGGTTTACAGTAGTTCGCTACACACAATTATGTACACCTTTGTTTCCTCCAAAGCTAAGCGTATGTGCCGCTTAGTTTGATAGATCATGATGTAAACCTTCTAATTTTCTTCCAAACCTTTCGACCATCTGGTGAGGCGTCATAATGATAATTGTATGTGAAAGGGGTATGATAAGATATGCTGAGTGTAAGTAGACTAAACTATCTGATTGAGAGACTAAATATCACTATTGTATATTTATCATTTTGTACTGTGCCATCATCACTGTATTTTTTAGTAGTTACTGGGCAGATCGTAAATTTCATAATGTGAAACAACTCAGACTACCACCTACATGCTTAAAATTGAAAGCAAAATGACTGGAATAATAAGGAATAATAATGAACTAAGGCAAATATCTAACTGAAATTTTAGTGGAAAATCGTTCATTTTTCGAAGAATTTGTGCCCAAATTTTCGGTCGCCCAAATGAGTTCAAATTTTCTGCCCAAATTTTTCGGGCTCAAATAAATTGTGCTCAATATAATGGCACACAAATTTTTGGGAACTAAGGTAACCCTAAAGAACTAACCTGATAATAAGAAGGAGCGCTAACAGATAAGATCATCTGCTCCTCCAGTCTGTTTGTCTCCTCGAAGGTTCCTGGACTCCACTCATCTTTCTCTGTCTTCCAGGCAGCTTCCATATACGCGTTACTCCACTTCGGAGTGAAATTCCCTCGGCCACTGTTCGAGTTTTTGTTGATCATATTGAAGAATTTGAAGGTGTTTGCGTTGACATCGGATAGATGGCCCATCTCGAGGAAGTTTCCTCGGTTATTGCAAGCCATCTCCCTGAGACCGCTTGTTGTGGTTCGAGGATTTCCGCATGCAAACGTGAACACCTGGCCAAGTAAGGAAGTAAATAGGAATACTTACGTAAGTTTACTAGTTTAAGTACTACACGTAAGTACATATAGTAAGTAACGTGGTTAGAAAATAAATAGTTTTTAGGACGTGAAAGCTTACATTTCAATCGGAGAAGATGGCATATCTATGAACAAATTATTCTTCTGGTTTTTGTTCTCGAGTGGAGATGTCACTGCAAGTATAGTTTTTATTTCTTACCTGAACGTCTTGGTTAGGATTACGTCTCTCAAAGGTTTCTTTACAGTTCTGTATGGTACCGTCACTGAATACTATCAGTACCTTTTGGCACTGAGCTGACCGGTTTATGTTGGCACTGTTATCTGTAAATATGGGGTTCTATCATCATAGCAGGTATTTGGTAATCGCACTGCAAATCAACGTATACTGTATATCAATACCCCTATATTTTCAATCGATATACAGTGTATGCCGAAATCCGAATACACCCTCCCCGAACCCTAACTAATCCCTCGGTATTATTAAAATATTTGAACACTCCGTTACAATTTATGAAACTTACTGAACATATCAAAAGCAGCTTCAACAGCCTTGTCGAAATTAGCTTCATCATCCGGGCGAACATCCTGTATCCTCATATTGATCTCATGCTTGATTCGATCTGTGGCTCTGTTCAGCAGCTGATTAGAGAACCACGGAATTAGTAATATGTTAGCTTACGGTGGCTGTTGTCATGGCGACGTCACGCTGGCAGGCAAGCCAGCTGATAGTGATTTATATTGAAAAACGATATTATGTTTTAGTGTCATATTTCGTTTTATTGTTACTGATTTGCTTTGTTGTCTTCACTCTTCTTCACTCATGCATGGGAAGAAACTCGCACGTTTTGGGGAAGATTTGCTGTTAAATACTGATTTTATGAAATTACAAATATTAATCCATTAACATTATTCTTACCGTAATTGAATTATTGTGGCTGTCTGTTAAGTAGGCGGGTTGACTGGATATTCCTATGAAGCCCAGAAAATCGTTATCAGACATTAGTTTCAGTATCTGTGAGGCTGTTTTCTGAGCCAAAGTTAGTGGCCACCCCACCATGCTGCCACTGAGAAGGTTCTAACGTTAAGACGGTAAAATAGTTTGGAAATTTGTGTGGGCTTCAGTGGGACTTGTAGTGAGCCATGTTGCATTGATTAGAGGCATCGACTAACACAAGTTAAAGTGAGATTAAAGTTGCTTTTTCGCCTTTATAGATTAATTTCCGTTTTTGACGTTTCTTAGCACCTGAGATCGAAGGCAATGATGATGTCCTTGGAGCACCCATCACCGTCTATAAACCAAGGTTGGAATCTGCAATCGTAATCCACAGTTTTCTGAGGGTTAAGTTTAGTGTCGAGACTCATTGAAGTATTGATGCCTAAAGCGTTTGTTACAAAACATATAGAGGGACATTGCTATGTTAACGAATGCAATGGATCAACCTGTTAGATTTACATTCAGAGTTACACGTACCCTAGGAAAGTCAGCTGGGGCAGGGAACAGTCTCAATACTCCGTTCTCAGTGCAGAAATATTGCCAGATTAACAACTCAGACTCCTTCTTAAAGTTGTCAGTGAATGTTCCTCTCAGCCCTTTAGTCCAAATGATATCTGTCTCGACCTTAGAAGATAAGAGAAAGATCAAAATCCTGTTGCAAAGCGAAAGTTACATTCAAAATAGTATAGCTGGCTCGTGATACATAACATCGTTCTTAACTTTAACACAAAGGCCGTTATTTTATTATCATTCAAAGGCTAAGATTTGGCAACAAAGATTACAATAGAAAGTTTGGGTGTGTAAGAGATTAGAGCTGATGACCCAACTTTATTCAGACGCTTAACAGTAATTCTAATATTTAATTTAACGTTGCTGGAAGCTCATTCCATTGGCTAATTGTTGTCGCGCATCGCATTAAACCTGCCGAGTCATTACCCACGACTACTTATAAACTCGGATGTGCGATTATACCTTTGTGCCGTTGATAGAGACGTCAGCAGGAGTTGAGAACACTGTCTCAGTAAAGGAGACGTTCTGGTCGTGTTGGAGAGAGTAGGACATGCTCTTCTTAGAATTACCCGACGCACTGTGAACACAAATAAATCTTCAGCAATGTATTATTATTATAAAACAGGATCTTACCGACAAAAATGATTCTTATAAATACCTTAATGCGGTAAACTGTACCCTTGAAAAAGATTTTCCCAACATCTGTTGCATGCAGCTATATCTCTAATTTCGTACAATTCATGCAATTCAGCAATGTGCTCATCATAAAGTTGGCCCATTGACAACAGGCCGACAAATTTGACATTTCTCAAAGATATATATTATGATATGATTTGTGGAAGAGCCTTCAGTTTTATGCAGTGACCAACACGGAAAGATCTGCTTTACTACAATTGATGTTTCATACTCACGTGTCAAGATAAGACAGGATATAGTTTTCAGCCTCGTAATTCCCATTAGCCTCCTGGTATTCCTTCTTATACAGCTGTTGTACACGTGTCCTAAGATCGGACAGACATTTTGTGGCTCTGGTAAACTTGGCCTCCATGTCCCGGGAGATGTCCGCTATCAGACTTGGAATGTCCCATTTCTTAAACGAGAAATCAACTTTTTCGTACTCCTCTTTGAGCGTCCTGGTCATTTCATTTCGATCAGATCGTTTATAAATAACAAGTTTACTGTTATGATAAATAGTTTTGGTTGAGTGGTTATTTATGTGTTAGTGCGAACCTGAACGATGTAGTAGTGTTGAAGTGTCTGTGAAGCCGCTTAGACACGAAGTTTGCTAAACTGACGGAAGATGCTAAGTTTTGTTGAGCGCTCTGTGACTCTGCTAGGATCAGGAGCAAAGTGGTAACGACAATGAAAGGAAGGGGCAACTTCATAGCTCATCACATCCTACTATAGGTTTACTTATAGCCAGCTTCGGAGGTTTGAGTGATGTTAGACCGTAGACGTAAAGAAGGAAAAGCAGCAGCAGATTCAGATCTGCGCAAATAAACTGCCTGCACACAACTAGCTAACTAAACCATGGTAACAATACCGGACAATACTAAATACTGTGAGGCTGCTACACTTATAACAGTTACACAACTCAAACTATAATAGTATAATGCAAAGTTAGGCTTGCCACAAGCACCTATAACGGATACCTTGACTTTTAATACAAGAGACCGACAAAGATAGCAAATGGGTGTCAATATTTCTGCATAGTGCATATGGCCGGATATTGGACCAAATCAACTCACCACTACCTAGGGATCTCCCGCTCACGAGAAAGCTCAGATAATCTACACGCATCATGCATGTTGAAATGGCTGCGATATAATCACTTTAAAGCTTTAATTGCAGTGTAATTGCCATAAATATTCACTGATTTGCACACAGAACTAACGCTTAGCACACGAGGATGTCAACATATCTGGATCAAGTTTATAGTGAGGAAATCAGTACTCACAATACGTGGATAATCGGTCCTGTTTTTTGTTAGGAGCTAATGCAAGCAATGCTAAGGATTGGAATAATGATCTAAAGATAATATTAGCGTTTTATGCGGTAAACAACCGGTACGACCTGATCCCTCTTCCAAGAGATAATAGTGATAAACATGATAATAAACATAATATTATTATGTTTATTATTAATAAAGGGTGACCGGATAATAAGAGGTTAGGGTAATTCGTCACGGATAGTACGAGCTTCTTATAATTCTTCTGAGTAACCAGGGTTGCCACGGAATGTCATAAGGTTAAAAGCGAAGTTAACCGATGAGAACGATTCATTTACGTTTGGGATGCACTATTCAAGCAAGCCTGAACGAACTAAAACTACAAACACTAGATATTATGCTAGTCTCGTCGCAAAAACGACTTAAAGAGCCTGCAGTTGTCATGGCAACCGTTTGATCTATGGCAGCCAGCAACCAAAGTGTTGCTTAATGGTTGCACTTAGAGACTACAGAGGCTAATAGTTGACTGTTCTGAGCTCCCAGCTGTTGCTCCCGGAAGTGATGAGTCTCTTGTGCATTTAAATGACGTGTTGGTCCATCAAAGACGTATAGACTTTAAAGGTTTGAGGTTATAACAAAATGAAGGGAGCTAACAGGTTATGGGTATGGTTACGGGCAGATAATCTGAACAGAGGATTGGTATGCATTTTGTCTGTACCACATTCTTAGGAAAGATCATGATACGACTGATATTTTATGTTAAACTGTACGTGATGTTAAACTGTATGTGAGGTTAACCTGCATGTGAGGTTAACCTGCATGTGAGGTTAACCTGCATGTGAGGTTAACCTGCATGTGAAGTTAACCTGCATGTGAAGTTAACCTGCATGTGATTTTAACCTGTATGTGATGTTTTAATTTCAGTTTTTCAACATCAATTCAAAAGTAATTTTGATTGATTATCCTAATTATTTTGATTTCTCTGAAATATGCCAACCGTAATAATATAATTGCAGGACATCATCATGAAAGAGATGACCATGACTTCCACCACGAAATCCCTCACTCTCATTCTACTCCTAGTCCTAAGTTGTCTGCCACACAGATCCTACTCATACGACTGTTACAACCAATGGTGTATCGGTACTGACATGTTGTACGGTGAGATGTTCTCCTGTGACCAGAGAAACCACCACTGTGAATACACGATATCTTCAATTAATTGTAAATCTGGTTACTCTGGAGATGGAATGATTTGTCCCTGCGACGTGTTTGAGTGCTACGACAATCCCTCAGACGGACATGCAGCCTGTCGTTGTCCTGAGTTAACACCCGTCATGACGAACTTAATGGTCGGTCTGGTCATGACAATCAGCATTGTCTCTGTTATTGTGGGTGTTGTGTTCTCGTTGAGGTCCGTATGTATGTATTTCAGAAGAGACCAGCCCTCTGGAACAGTTGACACAGTTGTGATTTCGAATCCAGGACATTTTGTAATGGGATTTGATGAACCATTGGACACTCTTCCGTCGTACTTTGAGGTGCAGTTGGTTACATCTTGTGAGTCAGGAGCACCTCCGTCTTACTTGGAGGCTGTGAGAGAGGATGTGACTGTGTGTCCTGATACAGAACACGAGGGTTCTACATGAGGGGTCTACATGAGGGGTCTACATGAGGGGTCTACATGAGGGGTCTACATGAGGGGTCTACATGAGGGGTCTACATGAGGGGTCTACATGAGCGGTCTACATGAGCGGTCTACATGAGGGGTCTACATGAGGGGTCTACATGAGGGGTCTACATGAGGGGTCTACATGAGGGGTCTACATGAGGGGTCTACCCGTCTACATGAGCGGTCTACATGAGGGGTCTACATGAGGGGTCTACATGAGGGGTCTATATGAGGGGTCTTTTTAGCAAAGAATTGACAAAGGGATCATTATAAGTCATATTTAAGCTGCTTCACACTTCAGCTTCAATGACCATTGGTTCTAAACGATATGGCCAGCGCTAACTAGCGATAACTAGCGCTAACTAGCGCTAACTAGCGATAACTAGCGCTAACTAGCGCTAACTAGCGATAACTAGCGATAACTAGCGCCAGCTGGCGCTATTCAAGGAGCTAGTAGTGAGCGTTAACTAGCGCTAATATTAATAGCGCCAACTATCACATTGCACCAGATAATATAGCGCTAGGACATCCTACCGGTTAAGTAGGATTTTCCTTTCACATAATAATAGTTTTCTCCGGATATCCAGCTTCCAGTAATATTATATCGGTCACGTGACTTGTGTCACTCACACTGGCTGGTTAAAAAATCAGTCAAAACTGTGAAATCTCGGTCAAGGAAACGGCACAAAAGCTTAGAGTTTCTATTTACTAATTATTTAAATGCTTGAGTCAAACCCTCTTAAACTTTTCTTTTTTGGTTGTGGAATATGTAGTTATGATTGTGCAATAAATTTATACAGTTTCATTAAATTCAGAGTGAAATGATACATTTTTCTTTCTGACATTGGGCATGTACGTTTTTCTTTTAACATTTTTTGATAAATGTTCTCGATGACTTTTTTTATACGCTGTTCAATTCCTGTTTAAAAGTTTAATTCCTGTTTAATGTAAACAGTAAATGTTTTTAAATTTAAAACATTGACAATTACTGTCAATTTTAACACATTCCTAGTTCGATCCTCTTTTGATATAACATTCTTACAACCTTTTTCAAGCTCTCTTCTGTGAGTAAAGGTGCGGCTTTCGAAACAGCTTGACTGTATGTGATTATCCCAGCTTGAACAGTGTCCTGACCGGCGGTCTTGACGGTGGAGTGCACGGATTCCAACTGATTCGATAATTTGCTTTCCAGAAGTTCAGGCTGCAGCTTGATAACAGTACTTTGCAATCGGATAAGATCGCTCTTCAACTCCTTCATATCTTTCTTGATATCCTGAAACATATTTACATGATCACTGGTTGTCACTAATTGAAAATTAATATTTAAAATTACGCGGGAGATTATAAAATGAGTAGGGATGCATAATTAATCACTTTACACTCGATTATAACATGATCTGCTTTAACACGTTGTTCTTTATGCTTTAGCGGCTAAATTAGCCTTAGGTGGCTCTGACCCCAGGTTATTATGTTCATGTATAATGTTTATGTAATGTATCGTGATGGAAATAATTTAAACGGGCATATCCTGTCCAAACCCAGGATGCACCACATGTAACTTTGTATGAAAAGGCTGAGCGCCGTCCAGTAAACAAACCTTATACTCTGACCCAACACTGTACTACTACTAACGGCCTTATAATTATATGCTGAATATATAGAAACCCGGCCTAAAATAGAAACCAGTACGAGAAATTAGACCAACTTGTTTCACGTGATCTGATCGAGACAGTTTTTCGCCGATATAGCTCGCCAAGGGTTAGGGAGCAGTTGACCGAGCGTGCTAATTCACTCTACAGTCTATCTTCGAGATTGTTCTAAAAGGGCCCGCAACAGTTGAAACCAACTTGAATAGATGTATTTTCGGATGCTGATTCCGAATAACCCCCATGACATAGGGTTATTGTTAAAATACTCCCCTAGCGAGATATTGGCGAAAAACTGTTTCGATCACATGACCTAAGATGAGAAATACGTACGGTACGTACCTTTAAAAATTGCTGTACGGTACGTACTTTTAAACTTGGGCTGAAAGGTACAGTGCTTGCAACTGCAAAAAAAAGCACAAAAACCACGTTCACACGACAACTTTTTCCCAAAAAAGGCTGTACCCTATAGGGCCTGTACGGTACGTACCTTTAAAGGTTGCTGTACCGTACGTATTTTAAGACCAGTACCGTACGTAATTCTCATTATAGGTAACGAGGGTTGTTACACGCACGTGCACGTGCAAAGATTGTTAAAACAGCATTTTTATCGGTTTTGATGATATTACGTTGTGTTTAGTGCGAGCAACATTTTAATCGGCTGTATCTTCGGTTGTGTAGGATATTTTGACGCGATCTAAGATGAGAAGTACGGACTCGTTTAGGGTGAAAAGTGTATGTACTTGTACGCAACTTTGAAAAGTCCGACTCATACGACGTACGATTCGTCGATTCAGATAGATTTTTTTGTTTTTGAATTATTATCATCAGGGCCGTTGTAAAATGTAATTGTTTGCCGATGTTAAAGAAAATATACCGTTTGCGAACAAATTGAACACACAATTCTTAGGTCAGGCAAGCATTTAAAAGTAAAACAAAAATTCTACAAAATTACTAGACAATTTACTTATTTAAACAGCTTGTTTCTCCTAAAGATACATTTTAAGTTAATCGACGATTGGAATAAAAAACACAAGTTTTTGAAAACGCTCAATATTATTCCGTAACATGCGATTTAGAACTCTTCCATCGATTTCTAGAAGGAGAACTTTTCAGTAGAATTGAAAAGTACGTACGATACGAGTAAATTGAAAAGTCTGACTCATTCGTACTTCTCATCTTAGG